CAGCAAGGTGATGCTTGGTGGCTAGAACACACGTGTTCTGCAAGTGTGCCTGTTTTTTCCACTAGTTACTTAGTCCAGCACCTCTTTCTTCTTTCACACTCTTCCCACCACTCTGCTTCAGTCTCAAGAGGGCTGTTATGAATAGATGCCATTTTAGGAAGAGCTGTAATAATGATAGGCCCTCATATGCAGAGCACTTGATAGTTTCCAAGGTACTTTCATGGACATTTTCTCTTCTGAGCCTCACCACAGTGAGATAATAGGGTAGGTGTTACTAACCTCAATTTATAGGATGATAAACTGGGAGTTACAGAGATTGTGACTTGCATAAGCCATACAGCTAATAAGAAGCGTGTTTGCTGGCATCAAATCCTGTCTTAATGTTTCATGTCTCACATTAGTGTCATGATATTGTCAGTTTCTTACTTGGTATTACTGTTATTTGTTTAAAATAATGGCTTTGAATAGAATTTCTTTATGCCTTCCATTAAGCAGGGCTATGCCTTACTGTGCAAACTGGCATATCGAGCACTGAGTTGCTGGAGCTATTGGATATTCAGGCCACTTAAATCACTGTCCTTGATCTGGTTCTGTGCACATCAGTCTTTGGATCACTTGGTTGCTTGCTGTCCCCTTTCTTGCTACCATCTAGGATCCTACTTCATAGAAATCTCAATTCTTGGGCCTTAGATCTGGTTTTGGGGGGCTCCAGGGTACATCGTTGCCCCACAAAAGTGCTCCCGAGATTTGCAGCAGCAATATGTCCCTCAAATCTTGCTTCCCTCGGTGATACAGCTCCAGTTCCTTAAGGCATTATTTGGAGACCCCCTGCAGCCTGTGTCAGACTCCCTGACACACAGAAACTGAAGCAGATACTGTAAGAAATCTGATCTTTCTTACATTGCAAACCCCTGGGGAGCTACAAAAATTGCTCTAGAAAAAAATTATATAAACCAGACTAATTGGCAGCCCATCAAAAGTTGTCTTGCCAACTTCTCACAAGATAATAGAAAAAAAGGGAGAGGAAAAGATAAGACTTTTATACTTTAAGATTCTGCCATGTTAATAAATAAAAGTCATAAAATATTACTTGCTATGTCATGGACAGGATATTTTTTCTTTGAGTTTTTATATAAACTCATGTAACATGGTACTTTTTCTGGTGTCTGTTTCCTAAGCTTTATAAAAATAGGTCAGGTTTATAACACAACTGCCATGAAGATTAAAGATCTTCAACTCTCTGTAATAATTAATTGAAGAAAAAACACCTAAATATCAGGACAGCTATGGAACCTAAGAGTTTAAGGCTAACAGGTACATTGGAAACTGGTTTAAATGCTGTTAATAGTGACTTTGATGTGATCTTACCAGTTTCTTCATAAAATCCATTTCATTTTTAAAATGATAGAAGATTAAATGAAATTTTTAAAAATGACCATCACTGAAATGAATTTCAGGGAGCGGTTTAGCAGCTGAGTTCCAGCTTGGCTCTCTTTATCATTCACTCTATGGTCTTAGGTAAGTCAATTAACCCTGCCTCAGTTTCCTAATCTACCTACTAAAAGTATTACTCTCAGTAAAAGGAAATCCCTTTGACTATGTGTGGTGGTCCTAAGCCTTTTCCCTAAGAGACACACAACTGTGGGATCATGTTTTTCTCTCAGGAGCTGTGTCGTGTACCCGCACGCGCACACATACATTCTATTCTTGCCTTTTGTCTTAAGGCAGCACTATAGATAAAATAGGGTGCAGGTTATGCATCATTCCCAGCTCTTAGTCCCTTCCCCTTCCCCCAAAGATCACTAGTTCCATATTAAGAACCGCAGTTCTGGAGAACTGCACAATTTTGACCAGTGGTTTTTTTATTTTTTTTAAATGCAAAATGCCTTTCAGTCTGAAAAATATTAATTTACTTTTATCCATAAGCAGTACATCTAGTTCTATATTCAAATGATTCTATTCTTTCTCTCAAATCTACTTAGTTCTACCAAAATGAAAAAACCCACTCTATCCCTGCATACCTCTCCTTCCAAAGAAGTTGTCAGAAGGAAGAGATGGAGGTGGGGGTGAAAAAAATAAATAAACTGCTGGCCCCCCTATTTGTTCTGTGGTAGCCTTTGTTGGAGGCCCAGAAAAGTCTGCAATGACAAGGTTTGCCTGGGGCTGGTTGTACAGAGGCTTATTTTAATTGGAAAGGAAAGAGGTTTGCATTCCTAAAATAAAGTGAAATGACTACTCAAATAACAGTCTAATTTATCACTTCAAAGTTTCCTTACTGGCACTGAAATCCATGTAGATGCCAAGTCAGACAACCACAACACTTGTCTGCCCAAACGACCAATATGCTAAAGCCATTCTCTTCATCACTGCTAGTAAGAAGAGCCACTTCCTTCTCCTACCACGGCAAGGCTGTTAGACCAACTAGCAGCATTTCACCTACCCAGAGGCTTCCACCTTCTTTATAAAAGCAGCGGTCTCTCAGATGGATCTCACTCAAGTGGCACCTGCTAGCAGCCACAAGTGCCCCTTGACACTGACTGCAGTGGGCGCGCCCAGCATCAGCACCTGCAGAGCATGTAACGACAGCAGAGTCAAAAGCAGTAGAATGGGCAACAGCCAGCACTGGCCACTCTCTGTGGGAAGGGTCCCAGTGGGAGCCCATTAGATAAGCAGGCTGGGGCCTAGGTCTGAGGTTCCCACCATAGAAAGAAAGAACCTACAGGAAGGGAAATTAACAAATTGACATGGCTTTATATCAGTATAACCCAAGTAGCGGTCTTCTGGCTCTTCCCTGTCCCTTGAGATGGAAATAAGCTTTGCTTCAAATTCCAGTCTGTGGAAATCTGAATTCTGTGATTTCCTGGTGGGGGGGTTAGGGTCTCTGTCTCACCCTTGCTCCCAAGAGGTTAGCTCTACAACTGTCAGGCTGCTTACAAAAAAACCATGTATGATCCTGGAAGACCTTATGAGAAATTGGTATTATTAAGGAGAATTATTTTTCATAGCCCATCGTGGCACGTAGAAGACATTCCAATTCTCCTAAGACTTCACTCAAGGTGTGACTGCACCTGTGTGCCCAAGTGCTTATGAGAGAAGAAGATGCTCAGCCCCACCCAGCCCAGGTACATCAGAACCTGAGTTTCAGTAAGATCACAGGACTCAGTTTATTAAATTGGGAGGAGCACAGATCTAAAGTCCTTTTCTGTCACCTTACCTCAAAAAGCATTCTCTTTGCTCTGACCCTTAGGCTATGAGCTTCTGGTCTCTCATCTTCTCTTTCTTGCCCCTTCTCTCTTTTGTTCTATCATTTCCTCCCTCCTTAGAACAAGCTACAAACAAAGGCTGGTCTCATGAGAGCAACCCTCTTCTGTGGAACCTCAGAGCCATTCATCAGGAGGCCCTGAAGTTCTCACCTCTACCCAAACGTATTAAAGGTTTTGTTTAAACAAATCTCCCACAAGGAACTCTGCTACCAAAAATCTCTCCATTTTCAATGTATATCATAGATTTTATAACAAAACCTAGTTTCCAGGCAGACCCCTGATCAATTCAGGATTGTAAATTAGCATATTTAGATCTGGGGAAACTGAATCTTTGACAGAATAGTGACTCACTCAAGGTCATTTTGTGGTTATTGGCAGAAGCAGGACCTGGGAAGAGCTTACAGCTCACAACATGACACCCTTCATCACAGGGTGCAGCAAATACTTACATACACCCATACGCTCACACACCATGTGGTTGGGGCAGTTTAGACACAGCAGGGAACCTCACGTGCACATCTGTGGGTTGTGGGGAGAAATTGGGTCACCCAGAGAAAATTCATAGACATCAGAAGACCTGTAAACCCACAGAGACAGGAACTGATATTTTTTTTCTCATCAGCATTATAAAAAAAAAAATAGTGTATTGGGCATCTGGTGGGTATAGTAAACACTGTGCAGAGGCCCAGAGAAGAAAAACTACTTGCCTTTGCCCAAACTCTTCCATTGGACCGAAATCCTTGTGGCTGGCAAATGACACATCTTTGAAAATCAACAGCTGGGATCTCCTTCTGGATTCCTCCAGACAAAGTTAATCCCTGCTTCCTCCATGCAAACACACTTCTAACGATTTTCTAGTACATGTAACGTCTTTGTTTCCCTTTATCTCCCTCTGGATAGTAGCATGTTCCCCAAGAGAGGACTGAATTCTTGTTATTATCATTTGTGAGTTATCAATGTCCAGTACAGAGGGAGCTCCCCCCAAATGCTCATTTTCCCCCCTCAGAAATCCTACACATTGATGACATCTGTCAAACAAACCCTGTCTTTAATTCAGCCCCCTCATCCTCTTGCACCTTCCCCCTCTCTGGACCTAGGCTACCTAGGCTACCTCGGCCCCATCTGCCTCACTGCCATTTATTTTCAGACCTGACTCTCTGGCCTGTCTTTCTCTTCTGGCCAGAGGTTCTACCAGCGCTTAGTGTGACTTTTTAAAAAACGTTCCTACCTCATCTGTAAGCTGAGTGGATTTGACCCATTGGAGCTCTTAATGGCAGAGTTGCAGGGATGTGACAGTCCCTGGCAGATATTTTATAATTTTTCATATTCTCATTAATGTTTGCCATGGTCTTTATTTTTAATATATAGAGGAGATTAAAGGCTATCGCATGACTATCATTCCCAGTTGCACTGTGGTGTGCTTTCTGGAATAGGGGAGAAAAGCGTGTAGTTACAGGTAGCTCCAGGATCACACACAAATGTAAGCCACACGCACCTTGGGATTGTGGACTGTCTCACTAAAATGTTCCATAGTTACAAAGGGTGATTTGTAAGATTCCTTTCAACTCTGTGATCTTTCAAACTGTAAGGCCTGTGGAAAGGACTGGAAATTGTGAATCTATAAATTCCTATTGTCGTGTAGGGAGCAACTCTTAACATTTAAATCTCAGGAACACTTGTGCAGAGTTCCTTAGTGCAGACACACTAAATTTTCCCCCATTTTCCTTGACTTTCCAGAAAACGGGAGGAAGAAAATAAGCGCAGAGAAGCAGAGCAGCAGAAGGGGAGGCTGAGCCCAGATTCCTGCAGGCCCCAAGTCCCTCCCTGTATGCCCAGCACCCAAGATGAGCCCCACAGGCAGAGCTGCGCCGCCAGCAACACTGCCCAGGACCCCGAGAGGAGAGCCCGCAGAGAGTCTCCAAGCAGAGAATCTCCAGCTAGTGTCCCCCCAAAGGAACAGCACCTTTCTCCAGATGTGCAGGAAACGGAACCCAGAAAGTCCAGTGGTAGGTGTATCACCTTTATTATCCGATGCCAGCTCATGGACTAGGAGCTCTTTTGATTAGTGTATTTAGACGATTGACAGGTCAATATCAGTGCATAATTTTGCCATTACATTACTGATTTTTCATTTATTTTATCTGATTTTCATTCCCATTTCTGTTTTCTTCCCTTCTTGTGACATTTTTTTAAGACTTATTATTTCTGCATATTGGGGTACAGGCCAAAGGTTCAGGAGGTGAGAGCATTCACCAGAGACAGAGTGGGGAAAAGAACAGGTGGATTGACTGAAGTACACTGCTAGGGGAGCAGCGGGTGGGTCAGAAGAGGTCTGCTACACAGTGTGGTTCACCTCCCGGGCCAGGGATCAAACTTGCAGCAGTGGCTACAGGTTGCTTCATAGTACTGAAACTTAACCCCTTGTGCCACCAGGGAGACCCTACCCTCTGTCAATTTTTTTTTTTAAGATTTATTTACTTGTGCATACAGAACTGAGGTACAGGCCAGAGTTGCAAGGGTGGTGAGAGGATTCACCAGAGAAAGTAGGGAGCAAAACAGGCAGATGTGTGCAACATATGATGTTGTACAAGAAGTACACTGCTGAGGGAGCAGCGGGCAAGACAGGAGAGGTCTGCCGCGCCATGTGGATCACCTCCCAGGATGCGAATCAAACTCATGCAAATGGCTTTACCTTCTTAATGCTGTGCTTTAACCCCCTGTACCACCAGGGAGGGCCTCCTCTGTCAATTTTTATATCACAGGTTTGTCGATTTTCTTAATTTTTCTAAAATAAGGATAGTAAACTTTTCCATCACATGTATTTGACCACCTAACAAAGCAGATGTTAACAGCACCAGTCACCCACTGTGTAGTTAGAGCCTGCACATGCGCTCTACGCTGGCTCCACATTTGCCATTCAGCTCATGGCAGGGTTGCCTGCGTTTGTGAGTGTGGAGCCCAGAGATAGAAAAAAAACCACAGTAGGGGGCCAGCACAGGAAAGACCCATGTTGTCCAAGGGTCACTTGTACACTAATGTCTGTTTTTAGTCCACCTGTGAATCTGCTAATTTTTTTCTTTTGAGATTTTCAGTTTTATGCTGAGAAAGGATTTTCCCGCTTCAAGTTCCAATAGACATATATGTATATTATAATTTTTGCTATCTCATTTTTAGCTTTTTGATTCATCCCATATTTAATTCATCATATGTAGTGAAGTTGGAATCTAACAATTTCTTCAAGACTACAAAACTGTTCTATTCAGACCCATGGCATAGCCAGAGCTGCCACACTGGCATTGGGCTTGTGAATAGCGGCTTGTGGGGTGGAGGACACAGCATCCCCAGGGGCTCTGAGGGGCTCAGATTCTCAACACACACACGTTCCGAATCTGTCTTTAAGGTGTATTTATATAAATGTATATTTTTAACTTTTATTTCTCATTAATCTATGTTAATACCCAAATTATTTTCTTTATTATTAGTGATTTATTTTCTTTGTTATTACTTACTGTCTAGTAATCACTAGCAGTTTCTTTGTTGTTGTTTTCCCTTTTAGTAGAATTTACTTTTCAGAATAATTTTAGATTCACAGCAAAATTGAGCAGGAATTATCGAGTTTCTTTATTGTTCTCTTACCTCACACACACACACATGCTCCCCACTCCTACACTAACGCAGTCCATTTTGGGAGCCTTCCTTGTAGTGCAGGGGTTAAAGTCTCAGTGCTGTCAAGCCATTGCCAGCCCCCTGTTGCCTGAGTTCAGTCCCTGGCCAGGGTGAGATCCCCTGTTTCATCAGCAGTGTATCTCAGCAGATCCGCCTATTCTGCTGCCAGTGATTTCTCTCACCCCCCCCCCCACACCTCTGGCCTACACCTCAGTATTTGTATGAATAAGTAAATTAGGCCCTCCCTGGAGGTGCAACGGGTTAAGACACAGCACTGCAAGCTAGCAGCAGCCTCTTCAGTGCACGTTTGATAGCAGACCTCTCCTGACCTGCCCACTGCTCCCCTCAGCAGTGTACTTTGTCAGTCTGCCTGTTCTGCTCCCCACCCTGTCTCTGGTGAATTCTCTCACCACCCCTGCACCTCTGGCCTGTATCCCAGTTCTGTGTGCATAAATAAATCTTTTTTAAAAAATTAATTAATCTTTAAAAAATTGAAATAAAACAAAGCAGTCCATTTGTTACAATCAGTGAACCTACATTCAAACATCATTGCTAATTCAGTTCACTTGCTATTTAATGCTCTGATTTTCAGTTTTCACTTTGCTTTTTTTTTTTTTTAAAGATTTATTTATTTGTGCATACAGCACTGGGGTACAGGCCAGAGGCTCAGGGGTGGTGAGAGGCTTCACCAGAGACAGAGTGGGGAACAGAACAGGCAGATCGACGAAGTACACTGCTGAGGGGAGCAGCGGGCGGGTCAGGAGAGGTCTGCCACGCATGTGGTCACCTCCGGGGCAGGCGGGGATCGAACTCATGCTGAAGTGGCTTTAGCTTCTCTGTGCTGTGCTTTAACCCGCTGCGCCACCAGGAAGGGCCTTCACTTTGCTTTTAACCCTCAGGGGTTTCCTTTATTTTCTTGACGGCACTATGATGCCCTTAAAAAGGTATTTATTTTATTTGTGTCAGTTTTTTGGTACTTGTAGTGGAAAGACTTATTTTCTATAAACTCCATTGCTAGAAATAGAAGCTAAATAGATTTTTGCTTATTGTAATCACCACTATCCTGGTGATGCTAGAGAACAGGTCTGAAAATTTTATGTGACTAAATGAACAGAGTTGCTCTTTATGTAAGTTATGGACAATGAAAATTCTTCCCTTCTTTCCTTATCTCCCCAGAATCATCCAGAGAACATCTTAAAGGCCGATCTTCCTGTGTCCACTTTAGACCCAGTGAAGGCAAAGATGGAAACAGGCGATCAGGAGTTTCCTCTATTGAGAAGTCAAGAGGTGAGACAATTGGCGAGCAGCGATGTGACAAGAGAAAAGGCTTCCCGAAACCGCCTTCCTGCGTCAGGGCTGCTGGTGCTGAGGAGAAGGGAGAGGACCCCCGTGGGGCAGCGAGCCTTCCCCCACAGGAGAGTCCCTGGAAGCTCAGCGGGCAGCACAGTGAAGCACGCAAGGCCAAATGTGCCTCCCAGAAAAGGCGCTTTTCTGACCTGAAAGGAGGGAGGTTCTCGCCAGCAGGTTCTAGCCGGCCCGGCAGTGCCAAGATGGAGGTGGCGCATGCAGGGCAGAACCCTCTCCACCATCGGACCCCAAAGAACAAAGTGACCCAGGACAAGCTCACAGGAGGGAGCTACTCAGATTCACCACACAGCACAGAGGTGTTGAGGTCAGGGATCAGAAAATTGAAACTATCTGCGCGGTCGGAAGACACTCAGACATCTAAGGAGACTGATCCAGCACCTGGTCCCCTTTCTGCACAGACTGTGAATATTAACCTTCTCCCTGTAGAGCTGCGGCTGCAGATAATCCAGAGAGAGAGGAGCAGGAAAGAGCTGTTTCGCAAAAAGAACAAAGCAGCAGCCATCATCCAGAGGGCCTGGAGAAGGTAGGGAGGCGTGATATTACCTTTGGTTCTGTGGTTATCTGATACCCTAAATTGACAACTCCTGTGTGCTGTAACATTTTCTGGTGAATTCTATGTGCTGTTGTGATAAGACCATTTTTATTGAGCCAGCCTGTGAATTCTCACATGTGTAGATCTTTGTAATTTACACTGGATAAGCTATGTAAGTGTTTTTGCCAAGAAAGATAGGATAGCATGGTGTAAAGAAAAATGCCCTCAGTTTGTAACCAGGAAGTCTGCGTTCCAGATGAAGCTCTAACAGCTAATTGACCTTGAGCAACTAACTCCCTGGCCCTCAGTTTCCTCATCTGTGAAATGGGATTTAGCAACTGCTCAGCTATTTTGTTTACATGACAGGTTGCTAGTATGATGTGATGTGAGCTTCATCACTAGTTTCTGAAGCATTAGTATGTATAAGATACTTTCTTTTTTTTTATGTCTTTACTACCCGGGAATTAGTTGCACCTTAAATTCCTGGATACAGTGGGTTGAGTGACTGAATTTATTACAGAAGCCTGTGTAAGCATCCACCAAATTGAGTTTAGAGTAGGCGATAGGAGTCCTGGTGGAGGATTCCTTAAACAGGGAGACAGATACCTCCAGGCAGTAACTGCAGGAGGGCTGGAGGAGTCCTCTCTGCTGCTGCTTTCCATAGATCCCATAATCTCGTCACACCGCAGGTCCACTAAGGGCCCAAATCCGGAGTAGGCCTTGCAGCAATGGCACCCATGGCTGCACCCACCAACAGGTGGAGTCTTAGGGCCTCTATCTCCAGGGAGAGGTAGGTTAATAGAGGAACAAAGCAAGCGAACCACTGCAAGCACAGGTGCACCACATACCAATGCCCCGGCAGGAGATTAAAAGGTGAGAAGAACGCAGCAGAGCCAGAGAGAAGAGCGAGCTTCTGGTGAGGGAGAGGCCTCATGGCTTCCATGCTGGCTGCCTACCCAAAGCCATGTGCTTCCTGCTTATGTGGGCTTTGCAGTAGTGTGGCCTCATGTCTCTTCAGGCTCTTGGCCATTTACAAAGTCTCTAATGCCTGATTGCATTTGCTTGTGCAGCCAAACCAGAGAATCGTCGTGATTGGGATTAGTGTCTCCATTTTTCAGGCTAGCAAATGGTCTCTGAAGTGACTTGTCCTACTGGGGCAGGTCCAGCAGTTGAAGCTCTGGCTCAGACCCAAGAGCCTTTCCCTTATGTTCTTGGCAGAGATGGTTTCTGCTTTAGTCAAGACAATGGAGATAGAGGCAAGCCTCATGCTCTTCACCTCAGAACAGGCTGAAGAGGAGGGCTGCCTGTGTGGTGGACACACACCAAGGTAACTTCCTGGGAAAGTATTGTTACTGTTGTTGGTACTTGTAATTGGCATTTTCTCTACACTTGTACCAGACTGTTTTACTGGTATTAACACATTTATCCTCACAGAATCCATGGGTTAGTGTCTGTTCTTGTCCCCATTCCACAGATAAGGAAACTGAAGCATGGGAAAAGGTTTATTAACCTGCCAAGGTTACAGAGCGAGGAAGTGCTGGAGCTGAGATAGTCTTCTTTGAATCCCTGGTGGGGATGGTCCTCAGTGCCCCCTTGGGGAGTTCTACCTGGACAGGTACCTGCCTACCATCTCTGAGGAACTTCTAAGTATTTCAGCAGAATCCTGTGATCTAAACAAGTCAGGTTTACCACGTCAGGCCCCACAGCTGCTCCCTGGCTGAAATGCCTTTCTGTAGGACGGTTCCTTGGCTCCTTTGAAGAGTCAAAAGCTGACAGGTCCTGTCAGTAAGTGCCCATAGCAGCAAATGAAGCCTTCAGTCATTCCCCCCAAGAACAGTGGGCTCATAGTGTGCGTGCCCAGCTGGGGAGGCAATTATGCAGGGCCCTTCTGGCTGCACCATTGTGCTACCCAGACCGGGATACCAACTCCCAAAGGTCTTCTGAGATGCTGCACCTTCAGAGAAGTTACATGTGTGGTGACAATAAAAAAGGCTTATTGATTCTGTAATGGTTTTGTAAGTTTTTCATTCTAAATTCAGGAGCTCAACACACTGTCCTGGGACAGTGTGTGGTATCTGACTCCAAACCTAAAGCACCCAGGAAGGGGGTTAAAACAGGGGCCAGGGAGCAGGGCATGTCACCTAAACCTTCCATAAATACAGACTATCATAGAGGAGCCAGGCCAAGGATGAGACAGGCAGGAACATGCACAGGCATAGTGTGAGCAGGTTGAATCTTGGATCAGGAGAACCTGAAGCATACTCTTTTCTTTTTTAAGATTTATTTATTTTATGCATATAAAGCTGGGGTACAGGCCAGAGGTGCAGGGGCAGTGAGAGGAGTCACAAGACAGAGTGGGGAGCAGAATAGGCAGACTGACAAAGGACACTGCTGAGGGGAGCAGAAGGCAAGACAGGAGAGGTCTGCTGTACCATTTGGGTCAGCTCTAGGGTGGGGATCGAACTCTTGTAAAGCTGTTGAAGCTAGCTTCACAGTGTTGCACTTTAACCCATTGCAGCACCGGGAAGAGCCCTGAAGCATAGTCTTAAAGTACAAGTTTTATTACCAAGACTTGATTATTTCAAAAGTTTTTTGAAGATTGAAACCAGACAGTGTGCAAGCCAAGCTGGGCTGGAAAGACACAGTGACCAGCTTTTTACCTGAAAGTGTGTAAGCCACTTTCCTATCATTTCTTCTCCAGAGTGTTCTGAGGTAAATAAGAACAGCCCTGAGGCTGTTTTGTTTTTTTTTGTTTTTTTTTTTTCAGTTTTTAAGGAACTTTACTGTATCTCTCTTTGTGATTGATTTACAAGAAAATTTCTCCATCTAGCCCTCACTTCATTTTACCCTCTGGGATATCTCAATGAGAATGAAGGTCATTGGGACTTTATTTTAGCCAGTAGTCACTGTGGCTAAATATAGCAATGCTAACCTAAAGGTTTATAAATTTATGTATGAAAGGATCAGTCAGGCATTGGGACAGTCTGCAATCCCAGAGTACAAGTTCCCCTTGATATTGGCAGACTAGAGGCTGTTACTGTCTCCAAGACCATCGTCTTAGAAACAGCCCCAATCTCTACACCAGAGCCCATAACATGGGAATCATGACCACTGAGAGTCGGAGCTCCCCAATGACTTCTCTGCCTGCAGAGCAGTTTCTTGGCTTCTCAAACAGAAGAGATTGAGCTAATAAGGAGCAGTATCAGCCCATAACTCCAGCTTTTCTCTACAGCCAGCTTTTTGGAAAAGTAGTACATATTCTAGAAGGTGGATGCCATGCTTTGCCACTCTCCAGGAAAAGAAATCCTGCCATTTCACTGAAATGGCCTTTAGAGCAACAGGAAGGAGTTGCACCACACCCTGCAAAGAGCTTTTAGCTGATTAGGAACATTATCTCACATTTGGTATATACTAAAATCAGGCATGGGGCCAGCTGCTCTGCAGCTTCCTATGAGCTTACCAGAAGTAGTTATTCAGCTATAATATAATAAGCAGATAATGAACACAGCTTTCCTTGGGAAGCTCCAAAACAACTGTGTTCAGTAAGAAATTTGAGAGTGCAGGCCCTCCCCGGTGTCACAGCAGGTTAAAGCCAGCACTGCAAGCTAGCAGCAGCCATTTTTCAGTCTGAGTTCGAGACCAGGCCTAGGAGCTGACCCACATGGCACGACAGACCTCTCCTGACCTGCCCGCTGCTCCCCTCAGCAGTGTTCTGCTGCCCACTCTGTCTCTGCTGAATCCTTTCACTGCTCCTGCACTTCTGGCCTGTACCCCAGTTCTGTATGCATAAATAAATAAATATTTTTTTTAAAAATTGGGAGTGCATGTGAGATAGACAATATCAAATAAACATGAGCTGTAAATACAGCGGGTCCAGAAGTGCAGTTGCTTGAGCAAATGGTGGTGCTATTTTAAGTTTTTTCAGGAATTTCCATACTGTGTTCGTAGTGTTTCCGAACATAAACACAAGTATGTTTGCAGGGGTTCCCTTGTCTCCATAGCCTCATCAGCTTTTGACTCCTCAGTTTGTTCTGGGGAGAGGTAACAGTATGCTTGAGTATTCTTGTTCTTTTTCCTTCTTTAAATTTTATTTTAAAGTCTTGCAGATGACAAAAATCAGGGCATGCTCAATATAGAAAGTTGTTTAAACCAAAACTAAGGATCAGAGCTAAATATGTGGGTTGTTTACAGCATTTTCTAGGGATGTGTTTATGTACTTTAAATCTTTATATACTATGTATGCACATGTGTGGGTAAGTGAATTAATCAGGTTTTTTTGTGCACTAGCCTCTGGCTATCACCTGCGGCCTTGATTCTGTTAATGTAGGAGGTGCCTGGGAGTGTGGGTGTGGGACACGTGCCTGACAGTGGACACCTGGAGTGGGGGTGGGCATGCATGCTTAAGTGTGCACACTTGCACATAGCAGCTAGGGCTACCGGGCTGTGTCGTTCAGACAGGGGACCACTATGAGGGACAAGTGGCTGTGGGAGAGGTGCCACAAGCGAATGCCAGAGAGAAACCAGAAAAGATTCAACAGGGGACTAGGGGGATGGTTGCTGCCTACCTCCTGGTCCCCCCTCTCCTCGCCCCCACTTGGTTGGTTGCCCCCACTACAACATGTTTTGACCAAATTCACTGTTAACCTTTCCTGGTTAACCTCCCTTTTCCAACAATTACTTGGAACCCTTTTCCATGTGTGCTTTTTTTTTCTTTAAGATTTATTTTATTTGTACATACAGAACTGGGGTACAGGCCAGAGGCTCAGGGGCAGTGAGAGGCTTCACCAGAGACAGAGTGGGG